TTCCAGGGTTTTATCTTGTTCTTTCATTTGAAATATGCTCCTCTGTCTCCTCATTTTGCTTGACTCTCTGTGGTGGTTTCTGTGTATTAGGCAAAATAGCTGTCTCTCCCAGTCTTGCAGGAGTGGCCCTGTGTAGGAGATGAACCTCACATCAAAGTAGCTACAGCTAGTTTGCTGTAGCTCTTGGCTGTCTCAAACCTTTATGATTGTCTAAGCAGCCTGAGTTTCTCTTGGTAGGTTCTAGTTATTGTGTCAAGACTTGTGAGTGTCCCAGAGGAAGGGATCTCATCAGCACCTAGTTTTAGACTGATTGGAAACTAGCCCCTCAGTCAGCATCTTTAAGGTATGCAAATAGATACAGTCCTGGGAGACTGCAATCATAGACCATACTAGCCTCCAGACCAAGGGATCTGGGGCGGGGGGGTCTCCCCTTAGGGACTGTTGCAAATTCAGGGTTCCAGATGAGTGTACAAGTTTCTTTCTGGGAGGTGCCAGCAAGCTGTGGTGAGGCCAGATGAGAGCTCAAAGATGGTATCCTTCAGCCTGTGTTCCCTGAGAGCACTTCTCTATCCTTTAGATGTGTGGTAAACCTGAAACCTACCGTTCAAGCTGAAGTTTTTTCATGGGAAGACCATGGGTTGTTGTTTCAGTCTATTGTCAGTCCCTTGGGGATGGTAACCTGCCAAGAACTGTCTTTCCAGTTGTTTTAGACCCATAGGACCCAAAAATGCAATTCCCCTTGACCACCAGATCCAGGCACTTACGGGGCATCCCCTGTGTGGGCTGTGCACCCTGGCTGACTCTGGTGGAGCTGTGGTGGAGTGTTATGTGAGGTTGGGCATTTGCCTGGCTGGCTTTGACAGAGCTGCGATGGAGTGGTACACAGGAGTGGGCACACTCACTGGCACTAGCAAGATAGAGGAAGAACGCCAGAAATGGCACCCTCCAGCATCTCTGTCCCCAGGGAGAGTTCTACCAGGCTTCTGCCCTTACAGCAGATATTTTAAGATTAGCAAATGAATCTTCTTCACTTATGGTCTAGCACTTTCCAGACTGCTGCTTCTGTACCAGGTTCTGGGGCAAGCGAGTCTGTCTGTAAGTCCTTAAGAGCAGAGTCTCTGTCCCCGACAGCCCTATAATTTTCCTGAACATTTGACCTATTGGCTTTCAAAACCAGACATTTGGTGGGGGATCATCTCTCTGGTGCAGGACCCAAAGGTTGGGGTGCCTTATGTGGGGGCACAAACCCCTTGCTCCTCAGGAAGAAGTCCTATATTTATGAGATCCCTCCTAACTGTGGGTTGCAGCACTGGGATGGGGTTTTCGGTGAGACCGTGTCTCTGTTTCTTCCACACATTTTCATGTGGCCCTTTTATTCTTTGTTATGGAGGCACTTGTTCAGATAGTTTTTAGGTCTTTGTAGATTTGTCGTGTCTGTGGAGGAGGTGAGTTCAGAATCTTCCTATCCCACCACCTTGAACTCCTAATTATGATGGCTTCATAATGTAGTTTGAATTAGGAAGTGTGATGCCTCCAGCTTCATTCCTCTTCTGCAAGATTAATTTGGCTCTTTGGGGTCTTTTGTGGTTCCATACCAATTTTAGGATTTGTTTTTCTATTTCTGTTAAAAATGCCATTGGAGGGGCACCTGGGTGGCTCAGATGGTTAAGCGTCTGCCTTCAGCTCAGGTCATGATCCCAGGGTCCTGGGATCGAGTCCCACATCGGGCTCCCTGCTCCGCGGGGAAGCCTGCTTCTCCCTCTGCCTCTCTCTCTCTCTCTCTCTCTCTCTCTCTGACTCTCATGAATAAATAAATAAAACATTAAAAAAATGCCATTGGAATCTTGATAGGGGTTTCATTGAATCTATAGATGGCTTTGTGTGATACAAACACTTAAAAAATATTAATTCTTCCAATTTGTGAATAAGGGGTATCTTTCCATTTATTTGTTTCTTCTTCAATTTCTTTTATTAATGCTTTGTAGTTTCTAGTGTACAGATTTTTCACCTCCTTGGTTAAATTTATTGCTAGGTATTTTATTGTTTTTGATGCTATTATAAATGAGATCATTTTCTGTTTTTTTTTTTCAGACAGTTTATAGTTTATTGTTAGTGTGTAGAAACACAACTAATTTTGTGCAACTTTACTGAATTCATTTATTAGTCTAACAGTTTTTTGGTAGAGTCTAGGCTTTTCTCTATATAAGATCATGTCATCTGCAAATAGAGACAGTTTTACTACTTCTTTTCATATTTGGATGCCTTTTATTTCTTTTTCTTGCCTGAATACTTTGACTAGGATTTCCAGGACTGTGTTGAACAGGAGTTGGTAATACCGAGTAGGCACCCTTGTCTGATTCCTGATCTTGGAGGAGAAGCTTTCAGTCTTTCACTATTGAGTATGATGTTAGCTATGGACTCGTCATATGTGGACTTTATTATGTTAAAGTATGCCCCAGATCAAGTAAATCAGAATTAGTTTAGGGTGGGATCAGCTACCGGCTCAGTTCAGCAGATGGGCAGAGTAGCTGGCTGGGATCTCTGCTTGGGCACAGCTGCAAGCAAGGACACAGTCCTCCAGATCTGAGCACTGGTTGCCGAAAGCCCTGCTCCCCTTCTCCTGCGTGATTCCCAGTGGTTGAGCCGACCCCTTCCTCCCACCATGGTCGTCAAGAGGTGAGAACCAAATGAGCCTCCTGGGAAGTATCCTGCCATGCTGGGGGAGCTGGTTGTCCACCTTGGAGTCTCTTTTCCCACTGGAAAAACTGTCACCCCAGGGGAGCTCTGTTAGTGCAGAGCTGGGCTGGTGTGGGGGAGGAGTGATGCAGTCAGAGTGCTCCTTCTTATTTCTAATGTGGTTCTTCTCAGTCTGTATGGTCCAAGGTGTGCTTTATCCTCACCCCTGGATTCTGGGATTCTTCACAGTGATGTCTTGTCTATAGATAGTTGCTAGCTGGTCTTGTGAGGAGGACTGAAGTCAGGAATGATCTATGTTGCCATCTTGATGACCTCACTCCTAGACAGGCTTCTGACATCAGAGAAGGTTCATTCAGATAATAGACCGACAACTTAAAAAGTAAATATTTTGTGTTAGTTAATTGAAAGAAGAGCCATATGCTTTTTATAAAACATGCGGGACTCAGAGTGGACAAGGTAGGAGCCTGGTCTGAGAGCCTGTTTATTCTGTACTTAGGTCAGCTACTGATGAATGATGCAATTTGGGGAAGTATGACTCTTCAAAGGACATTTTATTTTCTCTAGTTAAATAGCAGAGGCTAGAAAGTGAGCCCTACCATTGAAGTGACAGAGTAATTGGATCTCACTGGTCAGATGAGTTGAGGCAGAGTAAGAAGTCCTGAGTCAGTTGGTTGCAACCCTGGCTACTCAGATGATCTGGGAAGCTTTTAAAAAGTATGTGTATGTGTGTGCATTTGTGAGTGCATGTATACATACATATATTTGTATATAGGTATGTATATTTATGCTGACCCCACTCCAAAATAATTCTGATTTAATTGGTCTGGGGTGAGGCCCAGACATTGATATTTTCAAAAAGCTCTGCAGGTGATTCTAATGTATGTACAGCTAGGACTCAGAGCCACTTTCTTGCACTCTCTGAAAAAACTCTCATGTAATTGTCTCCCTGTTGATTTCTCACACAAAAGGAAAATTCTCCAGCAATTGCATCGTGCCACTCTAACTTGCTCTTTATAACATGCAGAAACTGTCAAAATATAAACATTTGCTTTATTTAAAACTATTTTTAAGAATAGCAAAGGCATGTTGCTCGATTAGTTATTTCTTACACTCTTTTCATGCCATTATTTTTCTGCATCTCATTACCACTTTAGAAATATCAAATGAAATCTGTACTATAGTAAAAACACTCGATTTTCAATTAAGAGTGTTTATTTGAAAAGGCTAATATAAGTCAACTGCTTGTTCTCCTTCTGGTGAATGTGAACCTTGGTTCTTGTATTTATTGTCACATATGAATTTTCCTTTTTTGTAAAGGAAAAGTTGGCAATTGCCAATTATGATATTTGGAAAAGACCCCCTTTCCCACTTACTAAAGCAACCACTATTTGAATCTTTTAGTGTACCAGAATTCTTTTGGGTGTAATCTTTATAAGACTTTGTCAACATTGTCCTTTATTTTAGAAATGTGCAGATGAAGGATGTCTGGGTGGCTCAGTTAGTTAAGCGTCCAGCTCTTGATTTCAGCTCAGGTCATGATCTCAGGGTCGTGCGATTGATCCCTGTGTCGGGTTCCGCACTCAGCAGGGAGTCTGCTTGTCCCTCTCCCTCTTTGCCTCCTCCTTGCTCTCTCTCTCTCTCTCAAATAAATAAATAAATCTTAAAAAAAAAAGATACACGCAGATAAGAAATATACTCTTAAGAGGCAACATTGTTATACAGAGCAAATTTCTATCAGTACTCCTTCCTATATGTACATTGAGGAAAGAGAGCATTTGGAACAACTGGGAGGTTATTTAAAAGCTAGCTTCATTTGTGACACATATTTCCATGAAATATCCAAAACCCTTGGGGAAAGAATCATATTGTCAGTGTGTAATCATAATAGAGAATATAGTTGAAGTCTACTCCTGGTGATGGTGATGAAGGGAATTGTACTGGAATAATATTTGGGGTATATTCAAAATCAGCCAAATAATCACTCCCACATGTGTTATCCCAGCCGTGTAATGCTGCATGTCATGACATGGTTTTAAATATAAACATGATACTCCACAGAGTGTCCCCTAATATTATTTGCTTCGCTCAGATTTCACCTGCCATGCAAAGGAGTTCAGGCTGATGCAATTTTCTAGTAATCCACAGTACTCAGAAGGTTTAACATAGTATTCTGTGGTGACTTAGTAGAAATTGAGAGATCAGCTCTGAGTAAACATTTTGATGTTTTCCTTGATGTGTTCTTGAAGTTCCAGGATGAATGGACTAAAAATAAACATTGTTACAAAACAATATGCTTTGTGCAGGAACTCTCCCTGGGCTCTCTGTTGGAGTTGAGTCTGTACTTCTCTGCTGGTTTATTGCCTTACGTCTACCTTCCTGTCTCATCCTACCTCAATCAAGCCCGTTGGACCTGGGGAGACCAGACAACATTGCTAGGATTTTTGACGCATTTGCTCAGGGCAGAATATGGAACATTCAGTCTGGTAAATTTATATTTAAAGCCCTTTTAAGGAAGGAAGCGGTGAAACTTCAGTGTTCTGCCTGGGCCTTGACTGAAAAAAAACAATGTCTATCAATGACAGTACATAGAATTTTCATTTTCGTTATCTGTATAACAGACTTCCTCCTTATAAACGTGGAATCACTTAACCTGACATCATAATGTTGGATATCCTAAGTATGTTTTTCAGGATAACAAACATTAAAAAGACTCTGTTGCCAGCATTTAAAACATTTCATTCCTCTTAGTATTGGGTATCACTTTGGTCCCTTGGTCTGTGCTTTTAAATATTTGGAAAAGATTGAAGAATCAGAAGAAAAAAAAAAACCCTCAAAATTTTTAATTTACCTTGACCAAAACACTTTCTTTTTTCATATTTGACAAATAGTGTTCATGATAGTATTTAGTGTAATACATATGTGTAAATACTTTATAAGATATAATTTCACTAGAAGTGTTTTTTTTTAAGTTCAAAAGGCCTTGTTTTCCCTGAAACATAAATTAGGGAAAAAACACTGAATGTGGTTAGAGTAAAGGTTATCTGAAAAATAAAAGGACAAACTTTTTTTTTTTTTACCTTAATAAAGACAGTTGTATCAGATTTTTCTCTCATGGTTTGTGCTTTTTGTGTCTTATGCAAGAAGGCAAATCTCTGAAGACTATGTATTATATGACACCATTGATACAAAATTCTAAACCACGCAAAAAGTAAACAATCTATTGCTCAAGGTACATACAAAAGAAGTAGAACTATATATTTTTAGAAAGTAGGGGAGTAATTAACACAGAATTCAAGGTAATAGTTATCACTAGGGGGTGAGAAAAGGGAGGTCTGTGAACGCTTTGTGAGATACTTTATGGTATTCATGCAGTTCTGTTCTTAAGTGAATGGCGGCTCTGTAGATTTTTAAAAACTCTATCCCTTAAATATACATTATATGTGTTGTTTGTAGGAGATATTTCATAATAAACTAGCTTGATGAAAGGATAATTATTAATTACTTTTTGAATTAAATAGTTTGATACTTTCAGTTTATACTCTGGCTTATATTGGTTATTCCGTTACAATATTGCTTGAGGGCCACTCCAGATTTGAAATTTGTATAATTCACACATAATTGTGAAATTATAGACTAACATGTGATAATGAGCTCTAATCAAAGTGCCTTAAAGACAGTCTACGACAAAAGTGTAAAGTCTGTTAATTCATCAGTGTGTTAATTGTTCCTGCCAGAACTAGTTTAACTGATTTTTAGCCCATCATTATTTCTGCAGTTCTTCCTCCGGGATGTCTGTGTTTAATTTCCACTGACTTCACTTCAAAAACTCAGTAAGGCTCTGAAGCAAAGACTGAATGAGGAGAGATGTTGCATTGTCTACTTAAAACATGTATATTCTCAGGATAGTTAAAATGCAATAGCCTAACACAGCTGCAGTTGAAGGCTTACGCAAATAAACTTCTCTCTTTTATGTTTAGGCCAAATCTGAAACAGGATCCAGTATGTCTAAAATTTTGCTGTGAGTATGAAATATTTGAAACTGGTTTTAAGTGAATTCGCTATTAGTTCCTAGACTAAGTGATTTGGGGGCTTCTGGGATTGTTTCTTTGTGAAGCAGTATGTCTGAGAAGTGGCTCTCACGGGTATGGTCACTAGTTGTTTGTGTGGACTGTCAAACATTCTAGCATTCCTCCAGGAAGAGAAAGCTGAGAGTGAGGGATAAATACAACAGTGAGTTAGTTAGTAGACTGTCAAACTAGAAAGTTTCCACTTCCATTTGGATACAAAATGACACAATGCAGTGTTGCTTTATACATCATTTATCCTTTGTTCTGGTTTCGACTCTTTTTTCTAGAGACATTTTAGAACATTGCATTTAGCAATTCGATTCTTTTCTTTTTAGGATTGAGCTCTGTTCTTAAATTCTTTAGAGCTTCATTTATTTAATGTCTCTTAAGACTTTTTCTTTAGGCTGTTCTTAAGCTCTATTTTGACTTAAATATTTCTAATATCCAACCTTTTTAGAGCCGGTTAAGCAAATATATTTCATCTGTATTACCTACTAGGGTTCTTTGAAAAATGGGTTAATATTTGCTTTAAAACCCACACAGATTAAGACAACTTGAAAAATATCCATACCAATCCTGTACTATTTTTATATTTTCAATATAAAATTATGGAAGAATAGTCTTCTATAACACTAAAGTGATCTCCTAACTGATTATTAATTTAGGATTCCCAGGACTATTTGAAAACCATTTTTAAAATGTGGGGAGAATATTTCAACTCTGTACATGAGGCAGTTCATAGGTTCTCACAGTTTCTGTCTTGTTAATTTGCTAGCTTGTTTGCTTCCTTCCATCCTTCCTCCTTTTCTTTTTAAATGTCCCTTTCCCCTGCTCCCTATATGTGATACATAATCATTATAGAAAGTTTAGAAAATCCAGGTAAGCAAAAATAAGAAAATTAAAATTACTATAATTCCAATGTGTAGAGATAACCACTCTTGTTAATCCATTAACATTTCTGTCTGTATCTTTCAATGTTTTTTATATTTTTGTTTTGAAAAATGGGATCATAATATGCAGACTTTTTTATTAGCCCGCTGGTTTTCATTTTTTACTGTATCTTGAAAATATTTTCCTGCCACCAATTATTATGTAACCTTTTGTTGGTTCTCACAACTGATTTTAAATGTTTTTTTTTTTTTAATGTCTGACTGAAACTTTTGTGGCTCCTTTTTCTTTTTGGTTGGGGAAAATTATCAAGAAGCTCAGTTACAAAGACAGCTTTACCAATGTCTGTGGGCTTTTATTTTATTCTGCTCTGCTCCAGGCCAGAAGACTCACTGCCTGTTCTTTTCAACCTACCTTATAGGGTTGTGATCACATTTGACATTGGCCGTATATTTTGCCTTAGCTAATCCCACATGAACTCCAAAGAACTCTCAAGAGTTCTCAATTATAAGTTGCACATAAAACTCATCTATTGGGGAACATAAAAGCCTCCTTTATATTGAAGTAATAGCAGTTAGGTGATATGCCTAGAAAAAAGACTTGACAAAAGTGATGACCACTCACACTCACACTATTTGTTCGAACCAAATCATAACGTAGAATGGAGGCATAATCCTAGCACTCTCTGACTGAGTGAGAGAATTTCTAGTCTTTAATTGTTTCAGGAGGACAGGAGTGTTGAGAAAAGCAACTTATAATTAACTTACTAGAAAATCCTTCAAAATGATGGGACCTAATCATCTCTCCTTTTCCAGTCAAGCAAATTAAATTCTTTTCCCATACATATCTCTAAATTGCAATCCTGTACAAGGAAATTATTGAATCTAACCCTAGGCAGTGACCATGTTTTAGAGCTTACATTTAAGCAACGGATCTCCAAGAATTAATTTTGAAACTGACTTCATTCCTTTTGAAGAATGGTTTGAAATGGACCTCATGCTGGAATCAATTTTTCAAGTGTATTTGAAAATGAGTAAGAATATCTTCTCATAGTAGATGAGTCTCCATTAGTAAAATACACATTGTGTGGTTTCCATAATTATGGTATCACATTTTCTCCAGTAAAATTGCCAGCAGGGAGAAGAAAGTTCTTCGAGAGGGTGTATAGAGTCATTTCTTTTTTAAAAAATTGGAGACTGCTAGAGCTATTTCAGAACTCAGATAACACTTGGGAAATGCTTATTAGTTAATGGAAGAATTTAGTTTAATTATAGGAAAAAAATACATTTCTCAGAGATGGCTTAAACATTTAGAAATTAATATAGAAAACAAGGAAGCCCTTTTTTTGAGAGAGAGAGAGAGAGAGAGAGCACATGCCCACTCGCACACTGGGGAAGACGGGCAGAGGGAGAGGGAGAGAGAGAATCCCAAGAAGGCTCGATCCCACAACCCCGAGATCATGACCTAAGCCGAAATCAAGAGATGAATGCTCAACCAGCTAAGCCACCCAAGCGCCCTGCATTAATTTTGTTTTCAATTGCTAAATCACAGGAGGCCGTGTCTACAGTACTGACAGAAGTTCAAAAACTCATTTCACATGACTTCTTACCAAACCAATTGGGGGATCCAAAATGTTATCAATACAGCCTACCAGCATTACAAATACAGAAGAATTACTTGCTCTGATCCTATCCCAAATAATATAAATTGGTAACCAAATATTATAATTGGAAAACATCTTAGAACTGTTTAACTCTTTCTTATGGTACTTTTTCTCCCAAATTTAAAAGAAGACAAAATAATTTTAACATCTGCCTCCAGCCCTTAAAACTACTCAGTGCAGGGGCGCCTGGGTGGCTCAGTCGGTTAAGCGTCTGCCTTCGGCTCAGGTCATGATCCCAGGGTTCTGGGATCGAGCCCCGCGTCAGGCTCCCTGCTCAGTGGAGAGTCTGCTTCTCCCTCTCCCTCTGCCTGCCTCTCTGCCTACTTGTGCTCTCTATCTCTGTCAAATAAATAAATAAAAATCTTTAAAATAAAAAAAATAAAAAAAAACTACTCAGTGCATAATCAACTGTATTTTACAAAGAATGTTGTATTTGGATCTAACCAAGTTTGTTTTCTACCCATGATAAGTTAGATTGTCTTTTACAGTTCTCAAGTAACAAGTATGAGGACCCAACTCTCACTCAACATTCAAGCCCTTGCAGTTTGGGCAAATATATGTTTAGCAAGAAAGTGAGTAATATAATTTCTTTTCCTATTCTTTTTCCCATATTCGTTAATTTGATTCATATTTTTATTATGCCATTGACGAACATTGCCAGTATTATTTTATATTCCAAATTAATGACTCTAATCACTTCTGTTACAGCAAATGTGTATTGCTTTCTTCCTAGGTTTTTTTTTCCTGATAATAAATTAATGATTTTGGAAGATTGAGCAGTATATTACAATCTAAGTAAGCAAGTCATTTGATGTCTTAAACTTCTGGTTTGATCCCTAACTGTGCCCACAGCTACTCATTATTATTGCATTGCAAAAGAAGTAAACAACTATTTGAATTCCTCGGAAGAAGAAAGTTACCTCTGATGATAAAAGAAAACCTAGAAAATATAGCACTCTTAACCTTCATTAACTATTTTTTATCCATTTACCCTCTAACCTGAGTGTTTTATGTAAATTTATATATGTACACACATTTATGTTCTGTTTCCTTGACACTTTATATTATGAGCATTCACCCTTATCATAAAAAGACTGAAGGTCATTTAAATGTCTGTATAAAATTCCATTCTCTGACCTAGGAAAATTAACTGAAGTGTTTTTCTGTTTGGGAATCTTCAGATTGCTTCCACTTCTATTATAAATAATATTAAAGCATTTTTATGGATTAATCTTTATCCACATTTCTGGTTTTGCTTAAAGATTTATGCCTACATGTCAAATTACTGGGTCAATGAGTGTGATTTTTTTTTTTTAAGATTTTTATTTATTTATTTGAGAGAGAAAGAGCACAAGCAGGGGGAGGGGGGAGGAGTAGAGGGAGAGCGAGAAGCAGACTCCCACTGAACAGGGAGCCCGATGCGGGGCTCTATCCCAGGACCCCGGGATCATGACCTGAACCGAAGACAGTTGCTTAACCGACTGAGCCACTCAGGCACCCCGAGTGTGATTATTTTTAAGACTCTTGATATATATTATCAAATTAATTTTTCTTGAGTATTATACCCACATATGTGCTCATTATGTTGCATCCTCACCAATATTGAAATTGCTGTTTTAAAATCTTTATTATTTTGAGGCATGAAAGTATTCTTTTGTTTTGCATATGTTTAATTACATCTTAAATTTAACAAGATTGATCATTTGTATTTCTTCTCTGAATTTTAACTTTCTATCTCTTGCTGCATAGTTCCAAGTGAAGTTGTCTGTAATATGGTACAGTGTGTAGTTGATTCCTATATTTCAGTTATTTATTCCAGCTCAGATTTTTTTAAATGGAAATCTTTCTTTGTCCCTAGTTAAAAATGGAAAGTTCTGGGGCACCTGGGTGGCTCAGTCGTTAAGCGTCTGCCTTCGGCTCAGGTCGTGATCTCAGGGTCCCGGGATCCAGCCCCGCATTGGGCTCCCTGCTCCACGGGGATCCTGCTTCTCCCTCTCCCACTCCCCCTGCTTGTGTTCCCTCTCTCACTGGGTCTTTCTCTGCCGAATAAATAAATAAAATCGTTAAAAAAAAAAAGTTTTATAGATCTAATTATTTTCCTATGTAATATTATTGATATTCATGCACATAAATAATTTTGGACATATTTAATTTTTTTATAGGGACAGACAGAATCCATCATTGGTATGGCTTTTTACTGGAATGTTTTGCCTTTATTCATTGTTCTTTGCTTGGAGGGCGAATTTAGATATTTCAAAACCACTTTTCATGGGTGTGGTAAGTTTTACTTAGATTTATCCTTTGACCAGAAAGTTGGTGAAGAGTGTACAAATTTGTCCTCATGAATCTTGTAGAAGAGCAACTGATCACAGAAATAACTAACATTGTGTATACATTTTTACAGATCGGAAGTTAAATTCTTGAACCAGTAAGACCGAGGCCTTTTTTTAGGGGGAAAAAATGCAACATTTAGTTAACACAATAGTTAGGGAGAAAAATACACGTCAGGTAGTTTTAAGTTAGTTATTTCATATGTGTGCTTACAGATATAAGTACTCCTGCAGATCTCCTGGAATTTTTTAAAACAACCATAAAGAAATAAAGGTGGTAGCTGGGCCTCTTACCCACACACTCCCCTGGTTTTGACCTCAGCAGTCTCAGGCCTGTGCAAGAATGACCACGTTTCTGTGTTCCCCTGGCTGCCACTTCTGAAATTAGAGTATTTCTTCTCTTTGTAGTAGAAGCTATAAATGTAGACAGCTCCTTTTCAATGGCTAAAGCCAGCTCTTTTCTGTGTGTATGTTCAAGAGGCCTAGTAAATAATAACACCCTCCTTGATCATCTGAGTTCTGAGTCAGTTGAGAAACGAGATAAACCAGGACAACTACAACAGGTGAATCCCCTTTATACTGAGAACGCTGAGAATGGAGAAGGTAGTTTCTATCTGTGGGCAAGGGGGCTTGCTCGTGCTGCATCCTGGAATGGACGGACTTACCCCCCACCCGCACCCCTGGTCACAGGCAGGGCTGCACAGGGGGCCCCTCCCCACCCCACCCCTGGCCACAGGGATGGGGTGGGCCGCTGGACGTGTGCGTCCGGTGGGCGGATCACTTCCCAGAGGAAGAGAGGGGGAAAGGGCCCGGCCATGCAGGCCCACTCCCAGCTCGCAGACTCCCCTTCCGCTCAGTGCCTGCAGTCTTACCAGAAGAAGTGAGGGCTGTTATACCAGGGGAGCCTCCCCACATGGGAGGAGACCTCAGGAGTAAAGTAAAACCATCTCTCCATCTCCTCCTCCTCTCAAGTGGCAGGAGTTCAAGATGCACGCCATAGCATTGAAAAGAATGTGTGGATCCAAAAAAGGGAGGTCCGTGTGTCAAACTGGAAAGGAGAAGTATTTGAAAATTGAAAAATAAAGTGACATGGAGTTGGATTAGGGAAGTCTGGAAACGAGACCTGAGTGATCGCAGGCCTGAGCGGCTAGGGGTACACAATGTATTTGTTAAATAGACAAGTACCCGATTGACTGCCTCATCCTGTCAGCTGGATGTCCTGTCTGCACGTCTCTGTCACAGGTGGAGAGATTCTGGATGCAGAGCAACGCGGTGGTGGCCGTCCTCGCTGGCCTCGGTTTGGCAACGCTGGCTTCTGAGAGTAACCGAGTGCTGAACACCAGTGGGCTTCAGTGTCTGGAATGGCTTTCAGCAACTCTTTTTATAATTTACCAAATATATTCTAATTTCAGGTAACACATGCTTATTTTTATGAAAAGTAGCACTCAAGCAAGAAACACTTAGATATTTAGAGTCTTGGGCTTTATTTCACCTTTAACCTCCCCTGGTTTTCAGAGTGAGACAGCTGAGTCTGAATGCAGCGCTGCTTAAACTTTTGAACAGAATCTCAGCATGAGCGATGTGTGGTTTCAGAGCATTGCAAACAAGGGCTTGGGTGGGACACATAAACTATTTGTATATTTTCCTCTGAGGAACCCTAGAGATACTTGGTAGGATCTGGAGGATGTAATAAAAGTCCATGATCTAAAATACCACTTAGATGGAGAGTGAAGACATTTGGGCCTTTTTGTATGTCCTAAAATAATTCTCCTTTATGCTTTGAAGATTTCATCTTTTGAGTGACACCTGGCCCTTATCTAGTTCCCTCCATAGCAGTGAATATTAATTATTTTGAAATAATTAAAGTTCTAAAGGTTTCTTAATGCTTATGCATTATGAGTATTATATATATTTTTCAAAATCTGTTGAATAACCTTGCCAATGAAAATCTCAGTCTGGCATAAAACATGTCCAAGTTTTAGATGATAGTTCATTTCCTGCAGTATTGAGTAAACATTACAGCAGCGGAAGAGTCCACTGGAGTTTCACTGTAGTGAGATTTTATTGGTATTTTAAAAGGTTCAATACCCCCCTTTTTTTTTAAGATTTTTTTATTTATTTGAGGGAGAGAGAGAGCACAAGCGGGAGGAGGGGCAGAGGGAGAGAGAGAATTCCAAGCAGACTGTGCACTCAGCAGGGAACCCGATGCAGGGACTCAGTCGCAGGACCCTGAGATCATGACCTGAGCAGACACCAAGATTCAGATACGTAACCTACTGAGCCACCCAGGCGCTTGAATTTCCCCTTTCAAGTTAACTTTAAAAACTGATGTGCTTTATTTTTTTTTATTTTTTTTTAAAGATTTTATTTATTTATTTGACAGAGACAGAGACAGCGAGAGCAGGGACACAAGCAGGGGGAGTGGGAGAGGGAGAAGCAGGCTTCCTGCGGAGCAGGGAGCCCGATGCAGGGCTCGATCCCAGGACTCTGGGATCGTGACCTGAGCCGAAGGCAGTCGCTTAACCAACTGAGCCACCCAGGTGCCCAAAACTGATGTACTTTATAATAGCAGGGTAGAGCCCATGTTAGGATGCCCGTATCACCAGGAGGTCTGTTGGAAAGGGGATACATGTCCAAGATGCAACTCCGTAGCTGGCTCAACAAGGGCCTGCAAAGCCCACCGTGTTTCCCAAGCTCGTTTTATCCCAGTCTTCTGACTTGGGTCTTTAGGGCAACCCAGGTTCAACACCAGGGATGCTTGTACAGGCTGGGCTGTTTTATTTTGTTTTGATGCCTGTATTTGTCCCAGGGGAATAGAGAGCAACTTTGCTAGGTGGCAGAATGTGGGGCACCACCCTGCAAAGCAGGGAATCACAGTAGGAAGCAGTAGCATCAATCTCAAGGACCGGGGTAAATATTCTCTTCCTAGCAGTGTTCATTTGCTTTGTGATGCTTTGTGATGCTAGCCCAGTGATTCAACTTTAGACTGTTTCTCAGAACCATTACATGTAACAGACCTGATAATAACAGGAAGGACAATGCCTGTTCCGTTTTTTGATGCTTTTACTCTCTTGTACTCTTTTTCTTTTTTCGTGGGAAGCTCTCAGAGTTCATGCCAGTTTTCTTTGAAGTCAGAACGTCCACTCTGACATTGAAAGGAGTTATACACTGCTGTTGGCAATAGCAAAAAATGCCTGGAGAGAAGTAAACGACTCAGCTGACTCTTCCTTCCCTTCCTTCTTATTGGTCTCATTCCCTAGTGATTTCTCCGTCTAGAAGGGAGAGAGGACCACAGGGAGCCTGTGGTTTGGGGAAGTGGTGGAAAGGCTCAGGCTTGCATGCAAGAGAGTCAGACCCATGCTATACAAAGTTATGCTAGAAACTGGCAGATTTCCTTTTGCATCTGAAAATCCCTTTGGTCTAAGTGGAATTGACATGCAATTACCTTGAATTTCAAGTGAAATCAGAATCCTTACTTCTTTTTAGTGAAATTAGATGTCCTTTTAGGTGGGGGAAAAAAGGACTTATTTTTGAGCACTAACCAATTCCCTTTTTATAGAAATGATGTTAAATTCCAGAAGTAAAGCAGTACACTGATTTTTTATTTAGTTGCACAATTAGTCCCTTCTCTTTTTCTTTCAGATGATAGCATTCTTTTTCAAATATATGCATCTTCTTAGAAGATACAAATTAGAATACTTTGAAGCACTACATGTAGAGTGTGTGATGGGAAAAGACTGCAGCAGAAAATAAACCCATTCTTGTTAAAACTGTAGCAGTATGTTGCTATTTTAATGTTTCCATATCCTTTTATTTAGCATTTGTGACCAAAGGACCAACTATGTGATTGATAAATTTGCGAAGAACCTTCTAGCCTCTATGCCTCGTGATGCAATTATCTTACTCAGAGGAGATTTGCCAGGCAATTCTCTCCGTTACATGCATTATTGTGAGGGACTGAGACCAGATATTTCACTAGTGGATCAGGAAGTAAGTATATAAGAAATATACTTAGACTATAGTAACAGTAATCACTTTAAAACAATTATTTTTTAAACGAATTTTTTTTTAAATTTTATTTACTTATTTGACAGAGTGAGACACAGCGAGAGAGGGAACACAAGCAGGGGGAGTGGGAAAGAGAGAAGCAGGCTTCCCGCCGAGCAGGGAGCCCGATGTGGGGCTCGATCCCAGGACCCTGGGATCATGACCAGAGCGGAAGGCAGACGCTTAACGACTGAGCCACCCAGGCGCCCCTAAACGAATTTTTTTTTAAAGATTTTATTTATTTTAGAGAGAGAGAATGAGAGACAGAGAGCATGAGAGGGAGGAGGGTCAGAGGGAGAAGCAGACTCCCCGCTGAGCAGGGAGCCTGATGCGGGGCTCGATCCCAGGACCCCGGGATTCATGACCTGAGCTGAAGACAGACGCTTAATGACTGAGCCACCCAGGCGCCCCTGATTTTTTTTTTTTTTAATGCATGTGTCTTTATTTTTGCTGCTGCTGTTCCCATCTAAGTGGCACACACTTTTAGACCAGATGGATAGTTCTCAGACTTTACTGAGCATCACAATCTGGAGGGCTTGTTAAAAATACAGACTGTTGAGCCCTAACCCCAGAGTGTCTGAGGCTGGGAACTTTGCATTTCTTTTTTTTTTTTTTTCTCAAAGATTTTATTTATTTATTTGAGAGAGAGAGAATGAGAGACAGAGAGCATGAGAGGGAGGAGGGTCAGAGGGAGAAGCAGACTCCCTGCCGAGCAGGGAGCCTGACGCGGGACTCGATCCCGGGACTCCAGGATCATGACCTGAGCCGAAGGCAGTCGCTTAACCAACTGAGCCACCCAGGCGCCCTAAACGAATTTTTAATGGCAGATTGGTACAGGTTTCCCAGTTACTCGTAGATAGAATATATATCATGTTCTTTTGTTTACTTTAACTAATAGTATAAGCCATATGAATTGCTTCCTTCTCATCTAAACTGAATGTTTTAAGAATTGGTGTTTTTTGTGTTAGAATCAAATAATAATCTAGGTCTCTAGTTCACATGACAAACCATGAAAGTACTGTATTGTAAATTTATTTTTAAATAGTTCGTTGACATTCTTTCAACCCAGCCATCCAAATTAATACTGCCCACTGGTCCCAGGATTAAAATACATTAGGTTGAATATAAAATAAGTCATACTGCAGGTGAGGAAACATTTCACTCAAAACAAATTATTAACCACAATTCTGCTATAGAATTTGTGTTTTGTAAACTTTTTGGTCTTACGACAAAAATATGTTTGGAGAGGACTTGTGAAAATTTCCGGGTCTATTAAAACGGTCTTCTGGAAAAGAAGAAATGTACTTAAGCTATAAGATTTATAATTTAAACCAAAATACCTAAAAGGGAACAAATCTATCTCTGCTGTTTTTAGAGTAGTCATCAGGGAAAGAGAAATTCCTCATCTTGATACTAATCTTAATACTATAGTTTGAGCAAATTATTAAGCACAATATTTAATAAATTTTGTTGAATGAATGAGTAATTCGAATTTTTGGAAGAAAACCATATAAACAGATTTGTAAATACAGGGAAATTTGCAAATTACACATTTTTATAAGCAGTTTGCGTTTGTATCATCTATACAAATTGATTAATTTGATCTTCAGTCTAGTTTCTGACAAAAGCTAGGCTGTTATTGGTAATATGGTATCCCACCATGATTTTAAATACTGTTTAGGATGGCAGCAACTATCATTGAGAAGCATGGATTTCAAAGTTAATTAGACCTAAATTCAAGTCCTCATTCTGTCACTTGCAGGATGTGTGACGCGGGGCTAATGATTTTTCCTCTCAGAGCTTCTGTTTCCTGATCTATAAAATGGAAATGATCATCATATAAGTTAGGTTGCTTTTGAATGCAAGAAACAAAATACCTGAGAGTAGCTTAAACTATGGGGTTTTTAATCTCACATAAGAAGTAGTCTGAAGATTGGAGGTTTTAGGATGGATAATATAAGCAGTTCAATGATGTCAGTGCTCTGGGGCCACTTTTCTACATCCATCTTGAACTGATGAATGCCCAGTTCCAAACATCACAGCCTAAAGTGAAGCAAAGTGCCTCTCTCCTCTCCCTTCCGCTCCCTTCCCCTCCCTTCCCCCTCCCCTTCCATTCTCTTCTCTCTCTCTCTCTCCCCACACCGTCCTCTCTCTCTCTCTCTGTTGAGAGTAACATGTGTCCCAGAATCCCCTAGCAGACCTCCCCTCGGGTCCCCCTAACCAGTATTGGGTCATATGCCCATTCCTAAACTACACTCTAGCAAAGGAGAAAGACCAGACCCAAGCATATAGCTGCCCTGGGAGACCTGATCAAAGTCAGGATTGTGTGAGTGAGGAAGAGGAGGGTATTAGCTGTTCAGTGGACAATCAGCAGTGTCTAATGTAATTAATCTCACACAATACGGTTACTATGAGAATTATATGAGAAATATTGAGGTCATAGCATATAGAAGGTATAGAATTAATGTTAATATCCCCAAGAATTGAAACTGTTGGTTAATAAAATCTAATGCAGTAAGTATCTTTGAGTATTTATAATGTACACCTAGATTAAAAGTAATTTGTCATTCCTAGTTAAATTACTTATATAAAGCAAGTAAAACATAAGCATAATTGTTCAAAAGATGATATCTAAACTAACAAAGCTTTGAAAGTGTAAATAGGAGTCTTTTCTTAAAAAAAAAGTAAATCTGTACATATAAAAGTATAGATAAGTATAGAATTAAGAAAAAGTGATTTTTCCTGATATTAATGATTTATTTTAACTAAAAGAACATGTGAGGATGTGTAGTTAATTTGGACATACTAGTAAATTCAGATAATTTAGCCAAAAGGGGTTTTCTCTTTGAGGTCTAGATGATCATACATTGAGCTTCTCAAGGGCAGAGACTATCTTCTTCACTGCAGGTGAGCAATACTTGTTTCTTGAGTAAATGGTGAACGAAAGAATAATGACACATCTCTGTATCTCACGCAGGTCTTCTAGTCTGGCCACCTTAGACATTTCACTTCAGCAAACAGAATTTGCGAACCATTCAATGCCAGGCACTGTGCCAGGTGCAGAGGCACAGAGCTGAAAACATACAGTCCCTTCCCTCTAGAAGCTCACAGGCTAGCGAGGAGTAGGGTCAGAGCTGTGGCAGAGGTGAGGTGTAAAGTGCTGTAGGAGCATATCATTCTGCTGTGGAGCCGGGGTGGGGGCGGGGGACGGGGGGGGCGCATCACAGAGGAAGTGATACTTCAGCTTGGTCTGAAAGTTGGGTACACATTCTCTAGCTAGGAGAATGGGGAAAGGTCATCCTGGGTAGTCTGCCAGATGCACGGAGGTGAGATCAAACCAGGTGCTTATGTTACCAATAATAGTCACAGCTTAAGAAATGAAATCCAAGGTTTAAGTCATTAGAGGAGAAGTCAGGGCCACGGATGTGAGTTGTGATGTTAATGTTTAATGAGTATATCCACGTCGTAGAACTTTTTCATTGCACTCGATAAACCTGATTCTTTTTTAAGAAGTATATAAAAAATATGACATCATTTGTTATTTTTCTGATAGATGATGACTTATGAGTGGTATTTACCCAAGATGGCAAAGCATTTACCAGGTGTCAACTTTCCTGGAGACCGGTGGAATCCTGTGGAAGGAATATTACCTGGTGGAGTGGTCACATTTAATCTTTATCATTTTCTTGAAATAAATAAACAGTAAGCATTCTTTTCATATAATAGCTTTTCTAAAATCTTAAGCTTTTCTAAAATTATTTATGTAGCAGCTGTGCCTCATCCAAAGACCAATTTTCTACACCTATTTCCCTGTCTCCGGTGAGATTATCTTTGTAATTAAATTGAATATCTGTGCATAAATGAGGCCAGGCAGAAATAAATGTTATTGTTCTGGGTAAAGGAAAAATAAAGACAGATTAACAAGAATGGCAAATAAGATCTTAGTACAACTCAGAGAAATTGGAGATGTGCCTGTCTACTTGAAATCATTGCAGGTGGATCGCAAACAATTATAGCTTCCCCCGATCAACACCAGGGCCCCCTTTTAAGTGTAAAGCAAATGTTTTCCAGGAATAATCACTATATAAAAATAGCTTAAGGATTTTTTTTTTTATAAAGGATAAGGCATTTTTGTAAATAAGAAAAACACCTACAGTTAACGCTGGCCGAGATAACGTATGAGAATTGTGAATTCTATACTTAAGAATATAAAATTATTCATAGTTAAGGTCAAGAATGAATAACTCCTTCAGTGGTATAGTGTTGAACATTTTTCCTAGCCATGAAGTGCTTTGGATTGTCCAGAGTGTGAAGAAGACTTGTTTGTAATTTCTATTCTCTTATAAAGGGAACTTGAAAAATTCTTTCTAAATTCCAAAGTTAAATTATCCCTTACTAAGAATATGACAATGTGGTACTTGTGGTGTTCAGAGGCTGAAGTTTACTGTGGCTCATGAAGTAATAAGTAATCAGTATCAATGTGTTATGAGAGTAACATTTAATTGTTCTATTTTGGAATAAAATATCAAGAGCCATTAACATCCGTAAAGAGGCATTTTTTTTGGGTGAATTTTATTTAATTCAACCCCACAGACATTTATTGAATTTACTACGTTCCACCTCATGTTAGGCCTTGGCAGTAAAGTGAGACTCAGTTCCAAATTCAAAGAGACCACAATCTAGTTGCATCTATACAGAGATATGCGTTTAACTGGCTATAATATAATGGGGTAAGCTCTATATTAGCCAAGCTTTGTCAAGTGTGATACCCAGCTCAATATGTGTTTACTGAATGGATGACTTAACTGGGAGCATGGATGAAGAAGCAATTAATTCTGCCTGGGGGCATTCACTCCACATTTACTTAATAAATATTGAGTGGCCATGATGCCCCAACAACTATACAAGCTACGGCCACTTGGGCATGGCCTCTTGCCGTTGCAGTCTTTCAGGGAGGGTTTTGGGCGGTGCCTGACGTATGAAGCGGATAATTACATTGTCATCCGGGAAGCATGGCAGTGTTGGTACGGACAAAATGTTAGAGACTTAAGGACGAGGTAGGAATTTGCCAAGTGGGCGGGAGAAGGCTGATTCAAGGGAAGTGCTTGTGTGAAGTCCTGGAAAGGGCTGGCTGAGCTCTAGGGAAACTGGGGGTGGCCCAGTAAGTGTGGAGCACAGGGCTTAGAGGGCTAGGTGAAGGGACGATGCGCAGGGAGGGCGGGGCCCAGATTGTCAAGGGCGTTATCCCATAGACGGGGTTGAGGCCTGGCCTCGTTATGGAAATGCTGTATGCTCCTTGGAAACTCTGGTGTAAAGAAGAGCAGCATCTGTCTTTAAGACAGCTGTCATAGTCTTAACATTTTGGTAAACTTTTTGGAATTCCATTCAGTACCATCAATTATTTACTTACACGAACACATACATTCTCACACACTCATACTGCACTAGCTGGGATCATACTTAGTTTCCTGTTCAGTTTCTTTTCACCTAATATCATGTCATAAACATTTCCCCATGTACTCCGAAAAGTGCCTTTATTACCGTCACTTCTTGATTATTTAATATTCTTATATAGATGCACGATGACTTAAATAATCTATTTTTGGACATTTTTGTTGTTTCTAGACTTTGGCTATTATAATATAGCATGGTGATGAACTTTCTGGGCCATCAGTTTTTATTAATCTGATTAACCAAGGCCTCAAGATTAATGTTGCTTATTGGTATCAGTTTTTTAAATAAAATTTTTAGTTTAAAAAGTAACATTGTTCATTATAGAATAAGAAATTATTTTTTTAAACTAGAAAAAATATGGTTCTATCACTCAGAAATACAAATAAATCAAAAGTGCATATTTTTACAAAATTGAAAGCATAAAGCAGAAGAATCCTGTTTTTTCAGTAAATATCATAAAACCATTTTTAAATGTTTTTACACACTTTTTGAAAATATTTTTCGTAGGTACATGTACTATATTTTAATCATAGAGGAATGGAACTATTAGTAGATATTTAACATATCTTAATTTTTAACTGTCATAAAATTATAGACTACATTAAATGACTTTTGTGTGTATAGTTTTTCTTTGGAGGAAGTCGAAGTTTGAATTCTTAGGATAGATTCTCAGACATGAAATTACTAAGTCAGAGGACATGAACAATTGAAAGGCACTTGATAGAGATTTTTTTTCCCCAAGCATTGAACCATCAGCATCATATGAAAGCTCTCTAAATGGGTACTTTTTAAAAGGAAGGAAGCTAATATTAACACTTACTATTTTATTTTATTTTGTTTTAACATGAAGTAAAATTTATCTTTTTTTGATGTATAGTTCTATGAATTTTAACACATGTATACACTTGTGTAACCCCCACAACAGTCAGGATACAGAACAGAGCCATGACCCCAGAAACTCCCTTCTGTGTGGTCTATTCTCCATTGCTATAGTTTTACCTTTTCCAGAATGTCATGTAATGGACTTATAAAGTATGTAACCTTTTGACGCCAGCATATTGCACTTAGCATAATGCCTTTGACATCCATCCAAGTCGTGTGTACCGATAGTCTATTCCTTGTCATTGCTGAGTAGTGTTCCATTGTAGAGGTGTAGTACCACAGCTTCTTTATCCATTCACCTGTTGAGAGACATTTGACATTTGGGTTATTTTCAGTTTGGGGATAGAGCTGCTATAAACATTCATGTACAAGTTTGTGTGTGAATATGGATGGGATTATTGGATTGTTTGTTTTCTTAACTATTGGGTTTTAAGAGTTCTTTATGTATTCTAGGTAGAAATCCTTTGTCAAATATGTGATTCATGAAGTTTGTAGCTTTACTTTTTATTCTCTTTGAGGTGTCTTTTGCAGATAAAAGTTTTCTGATTTTGATGAAATCCGGTTATCAGTTTTTTCTTTTACGGATCATACTTTTTTTCTTTTTTGGATCATACTTTTTGGTGTCACATCCAAGAACTCTGCCTAATGCCGGGTCACAAAGATTTTCTCATGTTTTCTTCTAGGAGTTTAATAGTTTTATGTTTTACATTTCAGATCAATGATCTACTTTGAGTTACTTTTCATAAGGGGCAGGGGATTAAGACAAGGTTCTTGGGGATTTTTTATTGTTGTTTCTTTTTGGCATATAAATGTCAAGTTGTCCTCATAGTTGCTGAAAATGCCATTGAGTGGCATTTGCATCTTTCTCTGTATTTTACAAAAAAAGAATTCTTCTGGGTTTTTTATTGGTTTTAATTTGATTAGTGTTTTCATAGTGTATCTTTTTTTATCCTTTTGTTTTTAACCACCTATATCATATTTAAAGTGGGTTTCTTGTAGATAGCATATTTATTATCCATTCTGACACTATCATTTCATTGGTATATTTAGACCATTTGCATTTAATGTAAATATTGACATATTTAGATATATGTCTACTATTTTACGATTTGCTCCCAATTTGTTCCCTCTGGTTTTTAGCCCACTGCTCCCCCTTTCCTGCCTTATTTTGGAAAATTTGGTTTTTTTAGTACTGCATTTTAAATTATTTATTGAGATTTTTTACTATGTCTTTTGGTAAATTTTTTTTTTTTACAGTTGATCTTGGGAATCATGGTATACATACTGAACTCTTCACAGTCTACTCAGGATTGATATTTTGCTACTTCAAGTGGAATATAGAAAATTTGCTGCCATATAAGTCCCTTAAACCTCCCCACTTTTGGTTGTGTTGTCATATATCTTATATCAGACATGCGATAATTTTTGTTTTCAACTGTCATACATACATTTTTAAATTTAAGAGAAAAAAATAGTCCAAGATATTTATGCAGATATTTACCAGATCCGTCGCCTTTCTTTTGATCCTGATAGTCCATTTGTCCTTTCGTATCATTTCTCTTCTGTCTGAAGATATTCCTGTAACGTTTCTTTTAGGGCAAGACTGTTAGCAGTGAATTCTCTTAGTTTTCCTTTATCTGAAAATGTCTTTGTTTCTTCCTCATTTTTGAAGAGTATTTCCAGATATGAAGTTCTGGGTTGTTCATTTTGTTTTGTTTTGTTTTGTTTTTCCCCACCAGCACTTCAAAAATGTTATTTTGCATCCTTTTAACCTACATGGTTTCTATTGGAGAAACCCACAGTCATTCAAATCATTGCTCTCTGTGTGCAATGTGTTGTTTTTCTCTGGCTGCTTTCAAGAGTATTTGTCTTCAGTTTTTAGCAGTTTGATTACGGTGTATCTGGGCATGGATTTGAATCTAATCTGTTTGGGGTTCACTGAGCTTCTTAAATCTGTAAGATGGTGTCTTTCACAAAATTTGGGAGCTTTTTAGACATTATTTCTTCACTTTTTCTGCTTCACATTTTTTCTCTTCTCCATCTGGGATTCTGATGACATGAACATTAGACCACAGGTGCCTGAGACTGTACATTTTTTTTTCAGTCTTTTTGCTCTTGGTTTAAATTATATCATTTCTCTTGATCTGTCTTCAAGTTCACTGCCTGCCAGCTGTCTGTCTCTTTCTCTCTCTCTCCAGACTTAATATTAAGCCCATCTGGCAAATTTTTAATTTCCATCATTGTATTTTTCAGGTCTATGATTTCCATTCGGGTCCTTTTTATATCTTTTATTTCTTTGTTGAGATTTTCTATTTTTCCATTCATTTCAAGAGTACTTGCCTTTACTTGTTGGTGCATGCTTATAATAGGTATTTTAAAGTCTTTGTCTGACAATTCTCACATCTGTGTCATCTTGGAATTGACATCTGTCGATTGCATTTTCCATTGTGAGTTGAGATTTTCCTGGTTCCTCATACGCCAAATAATTGTGGATTGTATCCTGGACATTTTGAACATTTGGGCCTTATTTAAATCCTAGGGAGAATGGTATTTTGTTTGTTGTGTTTGTTTAACGGACCTTCAGTCAGGTAAATCTCAGGCTGCAAGTTCTGACCTGCTGTCTGAGGCCTACAGTTCCAGTGTTGGTTCTGTTTTCAAAGCATTTGCAGTGCTATCTGAATCAATCCCTGTGTGTGCTGCCCATTACCCAGTCTGGGACCTGGGTGGCCATCTGTCCAGTGGCTCATTTCTCAAAGTCTATTAAGGGTCAGATCCATGCATGCTGAGCTCAGAGATAAGCCAGGAGTTCATACACAACTTTATGGGATGGCTCTCTTGACCTCCCTCCTTTCTGTCTTCACCCTGGCCCTTCCCCCTCCTTGGAGCTTTCTTTCCGGTTCTCTGGGCAGAAAACTGGCTCTTTAATTTCCCTCTTCTGCCATGTACTTCCTGTGACTGTCTATATGTGGGACCAGGCTGCCAGAGGACACAGAGAGGTAAAGAGCCATGAGGATTTGCTCCCAGCTCTTGCAACCATAGCTCCTCTGATTAGAGAGCAATGTTCCTTTCCCTCCGAACTGTGGGAAACAGCCCACCATCGTACTGCTGCCTCGTTGCCAGCACAGTACTGCCTGGGGCCTGGGGAAGAAGAGAATGGGGGCAAGCCAGGTCATTTCCTCTGCTCTCCACAGTTCCCTTTCCTCCTCCCCAGGCTTTTCTTGGAGCTCTTTTTGTCCTCACTTGGTATGTACTTCTGGGTTTTATGCTTCCCTTGAGTCCAGGCAAGGCAATACTGGAAGGGGAAAAATGGAAAACTCACCACAGGTTTGGTAGAACTTAGAATTCTGGTGTCTCTCCCCATCCTTCTTTACACCATTTACTTTTCAGAGTCCTCAGATTCCATGCATTCTGTCCAGCAAATCTGGTATGCAGTGGGAGAGACAGGGGAGAGTGTGCTTACTCCATCTTCCCCAGAACCAGAACTCTTCTAATGTTCGAGTACTGTACTTTGTATCAGATGCCTCATTTAATCTTAAATGGGTTATACCCATTTCACAGACGAGGAGACTAGACACAGGTAGTGAAGTAATTTCCTCCAAATCATAGAGGTCATAAATGAGGGGGGAAAATCTAAAATCTAAGCCAAAAGTATCTTGTTTCAAAGTTCATGAAGTTTTTTACTTTCAAGTAATTTCTTCTAATATGCTTCCCTGCCCTCCCCACTTAGCTATTGCTACTCAGGCATACACCACAAATTGGAATAGAACTATTCAATTATAGTGAGTTTGAACCAAGCTTATTTAAACCATTTCTATTCCTAATTTTTGCAGGATTCAAAGCTCCTAATAGTTTATTCAACCTAACTAATTTGATTCAGCAAATATTGTGAATTAGCTAAGCATTGTGCTATTTGCAATTCAGAGTGAATTCAGAGATAGAGAGCCTATCCTCAGGATGCTTCTGGGCTACTCGGGGAGATTTGTGAATGGAAACAATAAGCACAATACAATAATGATAAAAGAGACAAAAAATAAAGTGCAATGGGAATTGAGGAAGGAGACATTACTTCTAAGTAGGGAAACAAATGCAGCCTTATATTTCCACCTGTAAAATGAAAAAAAAAAAAGGTGTCAAATAAAGTGTCTGTTTACATGTGAGACAGGACCACAGAAACCGTCACTCTGACAATGCTTGTCCCCAAGTGATTTCTTACAATGTTATGAACAAATCGGTTTTTATCGTTTATGTCTGTTAACTCCCCCCCCCAAATCTCCCCAGATAGCTTTTTTACACTAATATAAATTCTAAACAGCACATTTAGGAAAGATTTAAATAAACCAGAAGGTTTTTGCAAATGGTTTATTGGTAACAGTTTAAGGAGTCAAAAATGACCCTTCGTGAATTGTATTTATTAACATTTAGAACTTGGAATTAAAAATATATGTATTTTTCTGTTTTCAATAGAAAAAAAACATTTGTTTGCATAGGAATTCATGAAGGTGACCCAACCTGGAAAAAGAACTATTCACTGTGGCCTTGGGGCTCTTGTGACAAATTAGTTCCTTCAGAGATTGTATTCAACCCTGAGGAGTGGATTAAACTTACAAGAAATATCTATAACTGGACTGCAGAATATGGAAGGTATGAACAGCAGCTGTATTTTTCATCAGAGCAAAGCGGTTTTGTGTGCTTACTAAATTTTGAGATGCCCTGCATATTTTTGATTTTTTTTATTAGTTATTAATACTATAATACTAGTTATTTGCTGCCCATGCAAATCATTAAATAGAGAACATGTATTTCTTGTCCTCGTGTTTGAAGAACAGTAGGGAGATGTGAGGGCAAGGGGGTCTGTGGTTGAGTGGGCTTCCCAACAATTTGGGGCATGGCACCTTCCACTTCCATCTCTCGTGATGCTGTATTGTCTGTCATCCTCTGTCTTGCACCCTGAAAGTGGAAGACATCTATTAACTGCAGTAGAGCTTTACGAGGTACTCTGTGTCCCATGATAATTTGCACAATGCATGAACTTACCCTATTTGTTGTTCTTCAGGAATGGCAGATAACTTCTCTCTGGGGGACACTGGCCTGTGATGAGTAACTCGTTCTTCATAGTTGTTCATCATTAGCCTGCTCATGTTGTTTGGGGCATGATCAGTCTTCCAATGAGCATCTCTACAGAGCTGATTCTCTCCCATATGGAAACTGAGTCACCATCTATAGAAATGTGCCTCCCTTGCCTATTTTTAAGTTATGGATTATTTAAAGATTCGATAATTATTGCTTATAATTCAAGAACAGGCAAGATGATATGAAAAATGCTACAAAGGGGTTTTGGATCCATTCGTGAGCAAACAGACCACATTGCACCAACCAGAGATGGATAAGTAGGTCTATATCAAAGCACTCGGTGACCATGGTGAGGAAAAGTTAGAAAATAATCTATTCTGGGCACCCAGCTGGCTCAGTCATTGGAGCATGCAACTCTTGATCCCGGGGTTGTGAGTTTGAGCCCCATGTTGGGCATAGAACTCACTTAAAAAAATAAAGAAAAGAAAGAATATAACCTTTTCTGCAAACAGCTGACCAAAGTACAAGTACCCAGCACCACTCACTATGTCCATTCTATCAAAAGAGACACATAATAAGAAAGTCTAATTAAGAGAGAAAAATTCAGCAGATGGTTCAGCCAGTGCCCTGTGATGGCATCCTTGCTGCAGCAATGATGTCAGCAAAGCCAGGAGCCCCTTCTCTCAGGCTTACCGCCTTGCTTCCCAGCTCTTTGGCTCTTGGCCGTGTCCGTAGAGCGACCCAGGCCTTGCCTCTGTCCCATTGCCCATCTAGCACTTCTTAAGGGACAGCAGGTTCTTCAGATGCCTCCAGCCTCTTCCCACTAATCCTTCGTCCACTCCCATGGAGCGCTGGGGCTCATTATGCAGATTAAGAACACATTTACCAAGTGCTCAAATTCCTAGCGATCAGATTTCTCTAGGAGAATAAGTTTATTATTTCGGTCCCTATCAGTCCTTCAAGATCCAACCTATTTTATTTGCCTTGTAAGATTATAAACAGGGATTACATGTCCGTAGCAATAAACGTAGCCAGCAGAAAAATGTCACTGTTTTCTTGTAACTGCAGGTTTGATCCATCTTCTTGGGAATCTGTGGCCGACGAAGAGATGTGGCAAGCAAGGTGACTAGCCCACACTTTTGTGTTTGCAGTCTGTTTTGGGGTCAGTGGTGATAATAAAATAGCATTTACGAGCAGTCTTTTTGTTTGAGGCATTGTGCTGATTGCTGTACATTCATAATCTCATTTTGCCCTCAAAACAACCTGTAAACCTATCAGGAAGTCGCTATTATCCCCGTTTTACAAAAGGACAAACTGGAGGTAGAGAGGTTACTTGTCCAAAGCCAAATAGCGACACGTGAGAGAGTCTGGAACTTGCATCTGCCCCACCCAGGAACACTGCTCTGCTCCGATGCTCTCCTGCCTCAACTAAACCAAAGTGATTGAGGAGAAGTTGATAAGGCCCCGAATCCATGGGTAATGTGCTAGTTAATTATGTAAGCACTTACTCAGTGTTTCCTAGAGACCAGACACCATGCCGCGTTTGGAAGCTACACCTATGAATACAACACAATTCCTACCCTCAAGGAGCTCACAGTCTAATGGAGCAGACGGACTTGTTAAAAGAGATTTGAATACAGGTGTGCTAGATGCTATACTTTCCTGTTGTTCCTGTATGGAACACTTCACGGGGACGCTGTGGATGCTCTTGGTTCCTGTCATTATTTTAAAATATTCAAAATACTGGGGCACCCGGGTGGTGCAGTCGGTTAGGCATCCGACTCTTGGTTTCAGCTGGGGTGGTGATCTCAGGGTCATGGGATCGAGCCCCACGTGGGGCTCCGCCCTCAGCAGGGAGTCTGACTCCCTCCCTCTCCCTCTGCCTCTCCCCACTACTCTCTCTCAATCTCTCTCCCAAATAAATAAGGAAATCTTCAAAAAAAATAAATAAAATATTTAAAATATCTAACACTCACAGACTTTGGCCTAAATATAATATAAAAGTCCTCAGTGGCATATAGACGGGGAGACCAAGTACAAGGGAAGCATCTCCTTCAGGGAAGGAAGGGGGCCCACTCTGAGCCAGAGACTGTGCTTTGCAGTGAGGATTGAGTTATGATATAAGGGATTTACGTAAGTTTAAGGAGGTTTTTAAAAAGTTGCCAAGAAATAGAGCTTCAAAATAGCAATTACAAAAATAGCCGTACTGCGGTTTATGCAGCAGTGTTCTTGAAAAAGTCAGAAAACAGCATATTGCAAGTGATCAGCCTAGTTATAGGGACAAACACTTGCTTTGAAGAACTGATCAAAGATGCGCCGTATGTTTGTACAATTCTTCACTGCGATTGAATGTAGGAAAGCTGGGGAAGAAATCACATAAAAGAAGAAAGCAGGTCATTATTCAGGCAGGTATTGATTTAATGGGTTTGCTGAAGACAATTTGGATGTGTTCATGTGGTCAAAGAGTCTAGCTACCTTTGAGGAACCAGTCACACATGGCATGAGCCATTGTAATGGGTACCTCCAGGGCTGTGCTGACAAACTCAGCAAGTACCCCCCTTCTCAGCTGCTCTCTCATGACAGTGACGTACATCTGGTGGAGATCTGATGTATAATCGTGACGATGAACTTAAGCTTTTTCCTAAAAGCTTTGGCAAGCAGTGTGAATGCAGCATGTTGGCAGCGGGGACACTTCTATGAATATGAGAGAGGAAAAAGTATATAATAAAGGGTTTTGTATGTTCTTTATCGGTGGGAAATCTGGCAGATATAGCTTTAAATGTGAAATTTGACAACATGATTTTAATGAAGGTTCCCCCCTCCTCCCGCCCCAATTCCCAGGATGAAAACACCGTTCTTCATCTTTAACCTGGCAGAAACCGCGAACATACCTTCAAATGTGAAGGCTCAACTCTACACTCACGCGTATAACGTACGTTACACTTTTGTATCTATAAATATGTTTGGTGGGAAGGTGGTGGTGATTGGAATGGGGAGTGTGTATCGCAGTAGAGTTTTTACTTTGTCGTTTCTAGTCTTATTTGGCTTTATAAAGCAGTATAAATGGAAAACTACCTGTGTACCACAAATAATGTCTAAAGTAAATGGTGTGGTTGGCTGATGATACCCCCTCCCTAAAGATGCCCACATCTTCATCTCCACAGCCTGTGAATGGACGGATAGCCTTACATGCTGAAGGAGACTTTGCACGTGTGATTAAGTTAAGGATCTTGTGGTAGGAAGATTATCCTGGATCGTCCAGGTGGACCCAGTGTAATCACATGGCCCTTCTAAGAAGGAGGGAAGGAGAGTCCAAGGCAGAGAAGGAGAGGTGATAATGCAAGCAGAGGGCAGAGAGAAAGATTCAAAGGTGCTGGGTGGCTGGCCTGGAAGGTGGAGGAAGGGGCCACAAGTGGGGGAGTCCAGGCAGCCTCTGGAAGCTGCAAAGGGCAAAGAAACAGATTCTGGAGCCTCAAGAAAGAACACAGCCCTGCTGGTTTTACAAAAACCTTGATTTTATGTATTTTGACCTCCAGAGGTGTAAGATAATATGTGTATGTTGTTTTAAGCCACTGTGTTGGTGGTGATTTGTTACAACAGCAACAGGAAACCCATAGGGAACCATTGGAACAGGACACAGCCCCCACCAAACAAGTTCTAACAGGTTGCCCTCCATGCAAACGTCCCGCTCCTCGCCTCACTTGAAGCGATGGGTTCGTGGCTGGTTGGGATTTCCTGAGAAAGATAAAGGGTCTTGGAGAGTGGCTCTGGCGCAGGTGGTCCTCGCTGGTGGGGAACAGGAGGATGGAGCAGAGGCTTGCTGTTGCCTTGTTGTAACGAGCCCCTGCTTTTCTGCGATTCATAGTCCTGGGCTCTTCAAACACCTTTGGAGACTGTCTGGGAGCCTGCTGTCTAAGAAACAGATGTCCTGGCAAGGACCAGTGAGCCCCGAGCCCCGGAGCCATCTCTGTGAGCAACTGAGGTATCCCTGCCACCTCTAGACTGCTATGGGGCTACTCACCCAGCTCTGGTTTAGTGCTAAGTCCACATCGCACTGTGTCCCATCAGTATGACTCATCTTACTCCTGAATGTTGTGGTCATGGGCTCATTGTTTATTCATGTATTCACTTACTCACAGAGCATTTCTTGAGCACCCAGTCTGTACCCAATACTGTGGTGGAGACAACCAAGCATTGTCCCTGCTACCCAAGAGGTAGCAGCTACAGAGGGAGACAGAAGATAGAGTCATCAGTTACATTAGTCTTGTAAGGGACATGAAGGGTTTGCAGAGGAACCGTGAGGAACAGCAGGCTGTACATGCATCCACCTCCTGGAGAGGGGCCGGTGAGGACGGGAGGGGAGCCTTCGGAGGAGACATCCCTGGAGTGTCATCTTGAAAGATCGGAAGGAGCTGGTGGGGCAGAGTAGTGAGAGAGTGGGCCAGGGAGGACAGTCCACAGGGACAAGGGCAGAACCCTCCGAGGTGCCCACTCGGGGACAGCAAGGGATGGATTATGAGAGACTGCAAGCTGGAGTTCTGTCTGGCAGTTGGCAGATCCAGGTGCAAGGCCTGCTGCACCATTAATTGCCGACTGTAAGTCAGTTCACCTTTCCAGGCCTCGATTTCTTCTAAAAATAAAAGTAGACTTTAAGCTTTATCGATTATCTCTCATGTCCTTGTCATGTCATAGCCCGTTCATCTCTAATACCCTGTGATTGTGTGAACAACAAGCAGTATTTAGTGGGGAGAAATCTGAGGCTTACTGTTATTTCATATTCTCGTCAGTGACCCATTCCGTGGTCATTTGCCAGGCCAGTACTGAAGCTGATTCACGGATTTATTGTGTCCTGTAAACTTTACTCTTTTCAGTGGACACAAGTCCATAGGTCTCTTCTTTGCATATGTCTCCAGAGGTGTGACCTTGCTTGCAAGACATGTAAGGTCAAATACTTGATGGGTCCACACAAATCCACCCCCTGGTACTGGTTTTTCAAGAACATTCTTGTTAGGTGTAAGACATTTTTGTTGTTATTTATAGTATTCCACTCAATAGCTCATACAGAACTTTAAGTTCGGGGGACCTTAAGTTCAGGTGTAGTAGGGGAGCAGGGAATACCCCTATTTTCTTTAGGAATACATTTGATAAATGGGTGTCCCCAGTAAATAGGATAGAGTCTGCTAAGACAAATGTCACAGTAACCCATAGAGGAGGAAATACAGTGCCACGTGATGAGAAATGACCAGCTTCTTAAGATACAGCACACGTGGCTTAATGGGCTACCCCGAATAAGTTGATGATGTGTCAGTAACAAAGTGTTCTAGAAACGGGTAGTATGCTTGTTCCGATAGCTAGAGACTATAAAATGGGGAGGACACGACTGAGCCTCTCATTCTCTTGAGCCATTGGGGAAGGGCTGGCCTCTGTTTTGAACTCCAGAACTTGGTAGGACTTTGAACACTTGGGAAAGTAAAGAACCTGAACAGTCCTGAGCGCCTGCTCTGTGCCTGGCAGCGCTCCGTGCACTTCACACACATCCCTCATCGGAGGGGCGCTCGGGAAGGGAGCAACAGTAGAGTAAACAGACCACGAGGAAAGGTAGAGAAACACTGGATATTTGACTGAGAGAACGAAAGAGTAGGAGGCTAGCTTCAGAGCTTTGATGTACATGCAAGCGCAAGGTGACTGTTCCCTTGGTTCTGGAGGGAAAGAAGCGAAGGGGGAAACTGCTTTAAAAGCCAGCTTGAAGACTGAGACTTATTAAATACTGAAATGAGACATGGAACATGAATTCTGGGATTTTTCCTGTGGATGCTATTTAAAGGTAGGTTAGGTAGGGACGCATTTATCTGCCCTGGAGTAGAAGTTGGGGCAATAGCTAGTATCTTGGGTCCCTTTCAACTGAATGATGTGATGGATACAGTTCTAACCGCAGAAGCCCTTTGTCCCTCGAGAAAGCATCGTTCCTTGTTCTGTGCGCTCGCCGAGTCTGTGGACAACCTCACGTTCCTGCAGATCCGACTCCAATTTGCCAGCCCCCAAGAAGGCTGTGGAATTTCCACATAAGCAAGTCTAGTATTCCACTGTGCAGATTTGGCTCTGCTTTATTTGTTAAATTTTAATGTTTCTCCCTGGAAAACTCAGTATCAAAGACTCAAACTCTGTCCAAATTCATACGATCTCTGATGTTGCAAAACAAAATTCCTGATTTCTGTGGGCAAAATGTTAACTATCGAAATTGTAATTATAGGGCGCCCTGAAGATTTTTAATATCTCGCTCTAAGGATGTCTCTTAAATTCTTTTACGCCCAGCCTATTTGATGATGGACTTGTTTGAGCTGGCTTATGGTTGCCATTGTTACTGCTGTTGTTTTTAATGAAGAGAGAAATTTATGTGAAAAGGAGGGTCAAAATTTAAATTCCTTCCAGTTCTTTTTCCATGCAGTTTTCTAAAGAAAGCTATTTTTTTTTCTCCAACAGCTAAATTTAGAGTTTCAGCCTTTCTGCCTGTTGAGTAAATAGCTTTCCATGAATTAGAACTAAATCCCTTTCCCAGAACATCTTTCTGGAGGAAGAGCATTTTGTCCTGACACAGTGTGTCTTAGGTTCCCTCTGCAACATCTGAAAAACCCCAGAAGCAGTTTTAGATGAAGCACATTTGCCTCCTGCCACTGTAATAGTTACAGTCACATTCTTGCATTTTCTGCATGGTCTAGCAATGATTCGATTTTTACTATAGGCTGTGTGGATTTTCCTTCTTGTGTGATTAATTCCTCTGTGTTTTCTGTGTTTTAAGAAAAAGTCAGGGGATAACAATGGAATACCAACATCTTTGCTGTTTTTCAGCTTTATAAGGAGATTGTCTCTTTACAAAAGGAACACCCAGTGAATTGGCACAAGAACTATGCTATCGCTTGTGAGCGGATGTTACGCCTTCGGGAAAGAGGTGCAGACCCTGAAGTCTTGTTATCTGAAACCATCAGACACTTCCGTCTCTACACTCAGAAAGCACAGAATGATCCACAGCTGCCTGATATTTTCGTTGTTCTAAAGCACCTGAGAAAGGAATTGCAAAGTCTGAGAAATAGGAAAAATGTCTGAGGCAGCAGGATGTGAAAAAACCTGCTCATCGTTCAGCTTCCAGAATTCCAAAGTCCAAAAGTTTTTCCTCCAAGAAAAAAAATTGTAAAAAAAAAAAATTGAAGACTCAGTCATTTCCCAGATAGGGTACAGCAGTACTATTCAGTGGGGTGTTTGAGTGATTGCGATGTGCTACGTATGCAAATTCTATGTATCCCTTGTCACTTAGCATTTCAGTGAGAACCTTCCAGAAAACCCTCCTACATCTTCTGTCTTTCACCTAATGACTTTGCTTGAATAGATGTTAGAAGAGAATGGGCTATTTTCATGTACTTTAAATATCGATTGTGAATCGTTTATTGGGATCAGTTTTGAAGATTGCTTATTGGGATTAGTTTTGAAGATTAAATTCATAAAATATTAATACCAGACCAAAGACACATTTTCTGTTTCTCAAAAGCGATTTTTTTTAAAAAGAGTGAACCTTGCTCTGCTTCAAATTAAAATACTTTTTTTTTTTTAAGTAGCTTTGGTTGTTACATAATCTCACACTTCAAGCTAAACACCAACCCAGTGAATATTTTGAAAAAAGTTGGGAGTTTTATTGTCTTTGATAATTCTCTGAAATTGTTAAAAAATAAAGCTGCTAATTTGCTTTCTTTCAGTTGCATAAAGTGGCAAATAAAAAGGATTTTGTATTTCCTTAGTTAATTTTATATTTATGTTTTACTTCTGTTTGGGCTCATAAATCCAGGCCCAATAATTAGTAGGCTCCTGCTGCCAAAATGCAAAAAAAAAGAGGGAAAAAAAAAAGGCGGGGACTGGGGGGTGGGGGGGATGGGGAAGTGGTTCAATAAATTCATTTCTGTTACAAGCATCTTTTATACATATTACTAAAGAGAACATAGTAAGAAATGCAAATAATAGTTCTTTATTTTATTATGACAGTTAATTAATAGCAACCTGTTTTAATGAATAAAGTCACTCCGAGTCCTTCAGCACTTCCTAAGTAGAGGCCAGAATCTGTAGGGATTCTTTTCCCCCCAATTGTATAGTTCCTAGACTCCAAGCGCTATATAGGCCCCTGTATAGAAATGCTCACTAATGAAGAGGGAGGGCTAGAAGCTTGTCTGCATTCAAAGATCACTGGTGAGTCATTCAGCAAGAAAAGGCCCCTTACCAGGAATAGTCACAGTTCCGTGGCATTGTACTAGCAAAAGGGTCTGATCAAAGGTCTCCTGCGGAGCTTGCATGGTTCCCTTTCATACCACGACCATAATTAAAACCACTAATTCTCTTTTAAAATGCTGCAGGATGCCATGTAGGCATCTGTCTGGAGTGTCCTTTGTGATGTCATAAGCTGTTAAGGACCAGTGCCGAGGGCTTTTGAGTGAAATGCCAGTCATGAAGGTACTTCAAGACAAGGGTGCCTCTCAAAGCTTGACAGGGCCTTGACTGCACAATTCGAGCTGAATTTGCCCCTTGTCAGCTGCCAGTAAATAAATCTCAAAGGGGGCAAAGCTGAAGTTCCATTACCTGATCCATGGGGCTTTGTTGGTTTTGGCATCACACAGGGGAAGCCCTTGCCCTTCCATTCTCTGGATTTGAAGATGTCCATTGGAGCCTGCAGCGCCTGGACAGGGTTCAGAGCGGAACCTTTTGAAGAGTGTCAATAGTTGTAACAGTTCAGCTGTTAGGAAGACAAATAAATGGAGGAGCTCATTAATCCGCTTTTGGCTCTCGGTGCCTTTTGCCCTTTTATCACAGCCTTATTAGGCTCCTACTCATCTTGAACCAGAAAAAAATGAATTGGAGTTGTTGAGTACTAATTGGCAAAGACTTTTCATCATGGGCCAAGAACTTTCACTGACTTGAAAGTAACTTCTCCACAGGGAAGAACCAAAAACCTGGTTTACCTTAAAACAAAAACCTGTTGAGTTCGGGGTGGTGTAAAAATTTAAGGAAGCGTTGATAAATTGTCTAAGTTTATCCATTTGAAAGAAATCGTGTGAGATTTCTTTGGATTTGGATTTCCACTTTTCTTAAAGAGGAAAGTACAATAAAATTCAAGTGAACATTCCCAGGACATGTGTTGTTTTTCTTGGTTCAGGAGAGATGGCGTGCATGGGTGAGGTGACGGAGCATCAGTAGGTACGTGGGCGTGAATATGCATTTGGGCATCTATATACACGTGGCGTCGGAAGGACCTTATGGAAAGGAAGATTTCCTATTGATGGCCTTGAGGATGGCAAGTGAAGGCCTCTTTTTGAGGGTACCTGCCTATTACATTTGTTTATATGGAGGCGCTCTGTATATATGTCTGAATATACTTCGTGTATTGACTGTGGTCAAAGGTTGCATAGGTTCTTCTGTATAGTACTTTGTGAACAGTGGCTTTGGACTGCTCTCTGTTTGAGAAAGCACTGATACCTATATGATGGCTCGAAGTCAGTAGGATCGTAATTATTTAAATTGCTAAAAACCCTCAGTACATGCAAAAAACAGCAAGCTGAGCTGACTTGGGCACGTTGGGCTTCATTCCCAGATCAGCTATTCTGAAGCATTCTTTCCTTTCTCTTGTGTGTGGTTAAACAGGTTGCTTTCTCTTTCTTTCTCTTCCTTTTCCTTGGCTGGTGCACGGACACCACAAACGCTGACAGAAGGGGTCTCCTCTAGTCTAACCCCCTGACATGGGAGAACATGTGAAGGAGGTGACTTCTCATGCAGGATTTGGCCAGGATTCTCCTAGCAATGTCCCCGGAGTGCCGCGGGTTGGCAGGACGACAGGAACCCCACAAGGCCAACTTCTGCCTGGACTTTGGCCTGAGGAGCAAGTGGGAGCCAGCAAAGCCAGCCGCTCTCCCTGAGCTGCGGTGCCCTCCTGCCGGGCTCCAAGGCTGGCGCACACGAGTGCAGGGACCGAGGCTCTGTGCCCTCTGACAACCCTCCCCCCACCCTCAGCCCCACGCCCATGATGGCAGCTATGCTCCGTCCTTACTGTTGACTCTACTCTTCTCTTTGTGGCTTTCAAAGGTCCCATTTTAACAAATGCTTTTGTCCTATGACTCAAAATAAAGCTCAAATGGAAGGGCATCATTACTAGTACACTTTCTTGAGATCTTCTGATAGACACTGTGAAATGTTATCTCTGTCCATCTTCCTAGTATTTTCTGATGATAGAACCGTTATGTTTACTTAGCCTTTATGATATCTAAACAATTGAGTGTTAGGGTGATTTTTTGATACCCAGCTGATTTCTTTAAGTCATCAGGCTAGGATATATGAAGACTAGTTTTTTTAATTTATATTTTAAAAGTTAAACAATGTGAGTCCTTAACCACAGTACCCACCAATATCCCTTGGAATTTAGAAATGTTAATACTTTTGGGGCGCCTGGGTGGCTCAGTCATTAAGCGTCTGCCTTCGGCTCAGGTCATGATCCCAGGGTCCTGGGATCGAGCCCCGCATTGGGCTCCCTGCTCCACGGGAAGCCTGCTTCTCCCTCTCCCACTCCTCCTGCTTGTGATCCTGCTCTCACTGTGTCTCTCTCTGTCAAATAAATAAATAAAATCTTAAAAAAAAAAAAAAAAGAAATGTTAATACTTTTAATATTCAGAAAAAAAGTTTTAATACCAAAGGTTAAAAAAAAAAGGATCCTGTTACAACAAATCCTTTTACTCTGTTTTGATGCTGGTATATTTTGCAAATGCACCAATGTAGAGTATTACTGGTCTTCTAAGTGACTCCAAGTCCTATGGTTAGGTGAAGAAAAGAAATTCCGGCCCAGGAAAAGATTCACACGCTTTATTCATCCTCATATTTTGTTGTGGATGCAAAAGCATTCTAGAGCTTATACTCACAAACAAATAAGTAATGTTTCCAGGGATTCTGGGAACATCTAAAGGCCAAGATCTTGGCACAACATTAGAGAGCAAACAGGGAGCTACAGCTTTAGCAGCGATCATATTCAATAAAGATGTCATTGTCAGTACCCTCGAAAGGTCTGTTTGATTTGGATCAGCATAGGACGGTGTAAAAAAAGCCTCAGGAATAACACAATGTGCTTACCTGGATATAGGAAAGCAAACTAATAGGAATATATCTTGAGAAAGGGATTTTTCTGGAAAAAAAAAATTCTGATTGGTCTTCAACACTGTAATGTACATCTGGTACAAAGGATATGTACAAGAAGGGTTAGCGTTTGTCATATTGTGAAAAGAAAAAAATGGGAGGAGAGATGGGTAGAAGTTCCCAAACTATAAATAGGAAGCCCTCAATTATTGACCTATAAATGGAGTCACCTGGATCTTTTCCTAGGATCCCAAGTGTTATTGGTTGGGGTTAATTTTCAGTGACGTAAGTATTGTGATGATTTTAGAGAAGTCAAGTTGATAAGGTGGAGAAACTTGCAAGATACGGATCGAACACATAACTGGCCCAGGTTTCCATCCCAGGGATGGAGCTCCTCCAGCAACCCAGTAGTCTTGCCTTGTCCATAGTCACCATTAGGTGAGGAGGATGTTAAATAACATTCTAATGAAAGATAAATAGAAATCCAAATCTAAGATTTAACCCTTTCATAATTTCAATTGTTTATAATTTGCTGTAAATCTGTATAAGTAATATTGGGGAAAGAAGTACAATAGATGGAGTATAATCTCTATATATTCTAGATTATAAACTGATAAATAGACATTATGTCCTGTTTTTGAAAATATGCACACCACAATCATCTTCTATGTAGAAGTGTTACCTAAAAGGAGGTGATTTTGTAATGGAAGGTTTTAAAGAAGATATTTTGAGATTTCTCTCATCTCAATGAAATATTTCCTGGATGGTTGAAACATTGGAAATACCCTTCTACCTGTGGTTGTTGCTTCTATGGGAAAGTGTGAG